CTAGTTTTTTTAATATGTGCCATTCTCACTGGTGTAAGATGGTATCTCATTGTAGTTTTGATTTGCATTTCCCTGATTACAAGTGATGTTGAACATTTTTTCATATGCCTGTTGGCCATTTGCATTTCCTCTTTGGAGAAGTTTCTTTTTAGCTCTTCTGCCCATTTTTTGACTGGATTATTTTCTTTGTTTTTGTTGAGTCTCATCAGCTCTTTGTAGATTTTTGTGATCAGTCCTTTATCATTAGTGTTGGGTGCAAAAATGTTCTCTCAGTCGGTGGGGTTTCTCTTTGTTTTTGTTATTGTCTCTTTTGCTGTGCAGAAGCTCTTTAATTTGATGTAGTCCCAGCTGTTTATCTTTGCCTTCACTATCACTGCTTTGGGTGATGTGTCTGTAAAGATGTCTTTGAGGTGCGTGTCATGTAATGTTTTGTGTATATTTCCTTCTATATGTTTTATGGTTTCAGGTCTTATGTCTAGTTCTTTAATCCATTTTGAATTGGTTTTTGTGCATGGTGTGAGGTAGTAGTCAAGCTTCGTTCTTTTGCATGTAGCGACCCAGTTTTCCCAGCACCATTTATTCAGCAAACTTTCTTTAAATGAGAAAGTATTCTTCTAAAAAAAAAAAAAATTATTTATTTATTTATACAAGCACTGGATCCAGTCAGAAGCGCATGAGGGTGAGAGAATTCACCAGAGCCGGAGCAGGGAACAGAACAGGCAGAAGGACCGAAGTACACTGCTGAGGGGAGCAGCGGGCGGCAGGAGAGGTCTGCATGCCATGTGGGACACTCACCAGTCAGCCAGGGATTGAACCAGCGCTGCAGAGACTGCGGGCAGCTTCGCAACGCAGCGCTCAACTGCTGCACCACCAGGGAGGCCCGAGAAAGTATTCTTAACAAAAATAACATTTCTGAAAATAATCAGGCCAATGAGAAGAGTGGATCTTTTACATTTTTGCAATTGTCTTTCTTGTCTGTCTCATTAGAAGACCTTTGGATTTTCTTCATATTTTCGTCTCCGTTTAGTCTGTTGTTCTGGTTGAAGTCTATGAAAAAATACACACTGCCTTACTATAACTATGCAGACACTGCCTTACACAAATATGTTGAAGTAGTGTTTTCAGACAATTTGTAATATCCCACTTTCATACTACATTAAAACTATACAGTTTTAACTTTACAGTTTGGTATTTTCTCCAAGGTTAATTGCAAAGTGAAACCTGAAATAATATCATTGAATATTTCTTATTCTGTTACATTTCCATAGTCCTCTTGTTGTAGAAATAAATTCTGGCCTTTTCCCCAGGCAGAGGAAGAACAAGGGGTACTTCATAATGGTGAGGTCAGAAGCTTTATTATTCATGCATGAGGTCCCAGACCTGGGTAGCCCCCTAAGTCAGAGCACCAGTTTAAAGACCAAGGGTTCCTTTTATACACAACTGTGTCCATATCTGTTACATTGATAGTGACGTGGTTTTTGTGAAGTCTGTGGGTTTGGAGTACGGGGTCCTTGGGGTCACTCTGGGAAAGGTTTCACCAGAGCTCCCCTTTCAGCGACACGTGGTGAGGTCCCCAGCGAGTTTCTCCACGAGACAAAGACACTAGTTATATTTAAAGGACAGGTTTATTAGGGAAAGGGACAGAAGAGTAAAAGACACTTGCATAGACACAGGCGGACAGGAATAGCTGCCCCGAAAGGGACAGGTTTGCTGAGAGAGGCCTGCGTGGTTGCAGGCGGGCAGTCTTGAGGAGAGCGGCCTTCGCTGAAGGAGGTCAGTGCAGAGAAGTCCAGGCATGGTGCAGGTCACGGGCAGGCAGGCAGGAAGCTGCTGTCCTGCGGAGGGAGAGGGTTGGTAAAAAGAGGCATCTGCATAGACACAGGTGGGCAGTGGGCTTGCTGCCCTGAGCCTGTGCAGAGACTGCACTGATATAGTCCTCTGCTGTTTGGGAGGGGCCGCTCCTTGTGAGATTTAGGGTTAGTGGCTGATTTTGGATAACTAAGCAGAATCTGAAAGGGACAGCAGATTCCACCATGGGCTCAATCTCCACATCTTTACCTGTGGATGTGTGCTCTGATACCTGCTTGGATGTTATGTATCCAGGCGTTGGTGCCTGAAGATCTTAGTTTTCACAAGGTGGAGTCTGTGCCTAAGGATCCTAGTTTCCATAACTGTGTTGACGGTTATGCTAATCTCTTCTACCCCCATCTTCTTGTGAGAGCCACGTTTCTGGTCGTGTGGTGCTTCCTTTTTCAGTTTATTTATTTATTTTTTTCATTCCTGTCCTCCATCAATAGCATAATTTTCAGCAGGCACAACCATTTGCTGCAAAGTCCTCCAACAAGGGAGGCCCGGCAAGGGGGTGAAGATGCAGGCATTTGGGGATGCCCTTTAAGAGAGAGGCCAGCGGGTTGACTGCCCAGCCTTGTAGATAAGAGTGCTGAGGCCCTGGCCATGCATCTTAAAAGGGAAAGAGCTGTGAGTAAGCAAACTTGTTAATTATGCCTGCATGGGAGTGTTCATTGTGTTACAGGACAAGGAGAGGAGCACCCCAGACCCCGCAAACCTGCCTGCTCTAAATAGGCTCTGCCATCCACTGCATCCACACAAAACATGTAAGACCGTAATGGGAAGGAACTTGAACACAATTAGTAAACAATACAGAAAAGACAAAGAATATAGTTTCTAAATCAAGCACCCTTGTTACCCATCCCCTTGTGGGTAAAAGACCACCCGAATGGTCTTTCGGGCCAGAGCAAGGCCCAAAAGCCTGCCACAAATCTAAAGCATCTTTTAGTGGGGACCCACAGAAAAGGATCAGAAATAACTGGACAAGATTGGGAGGAAAAGAGCAAATTCAAAATCAAGATAAAAGCTGCCATTGTCACCTCCCCACGGGTCTCTCACCCACATCAGTTTCAGCACCAAAAGGTAAGCATAGTTTCTTCACATGTCTCTCTGTTCCATGTGCCTCCTCCAGGTCTTCTTATGGCTCCATCCTGCTTCCTTCCTTCCTCAGTCTCCTCTGCAGCTTCTTCTCTTCTCTTTAGCTCCACCCTCTTTTGAGTGGGGCAAGAGAACCTGAAACTTCCCCTTTCCCTGGGCAGCACCCTGTTACAATTGCAGCAAGACTGGAAATTCTGCTGGAATCTTTATTATATTCATTTGCTCAATAATATATGTTCTCATCACTTTCTTGCATACTGGTTGGGTCTTGTGCTAATGTGTGATTTTTTAAAAGTAATATATTATTCCACTAAGTTATAAAGATCTTCAGTATTCTTTACACTGGAATCAAATTATTAAAAAGAAATTTTCACTTTATTTTTCACCACAAATCCCAAAAGTAAAAGTAGTACTGGAAGTTGTCAAGTTAGTGAAAGATGGAGGAGAGCAATAGAAAAAGACTGGAAAGGAGATGCCCCAAGACCAGAAATCTGGCCCACACAAGGAGCAGGGGGTAGAAGGGATTAACACAGCCATTGACACAGATCTAGAAACCAAGATCCTTAGGCTCCAAAGCCTAGATTACAAAGCAGAAAATCCAAGTGGGTATCAGACTGCTGTCTAGAGCACAGGCCCAAGGGTAAAGATATGGAGATTGAGCCCATTGTAGACTCTCCTGTCCCTTTCAGATTCTGCATAGTTATCCAACATCAACAACTAACCAGAAGGCTCACAAGGAGTGACCCCTTCCAAACAGAAAAAGACTATGTCAGTGCAGTCTCTGCACAGGCTGGGGGCAGCAATCCCTCTGCCCACCTGTGACTATGCAGGTGCATCTTTTCACCAATTCTCTTCTCTGCAGGGCAGCAGCCTCCTGCCTGGCCATGACTTGCATCATGCCTGCACTTCTCTTCATTGACCTCCCTCAGTGGAAGCAGCTCCCTCAAGGCCATCCACCTGTAGCCATGCAGGCCTCTCTCAGCAAACCTGTCCCTCTGGGGTTGGGGGGGGGACAGCTCTTCCTGCCCGTTTGTGTCTATGCAAGTGTCCTTTACTCTTTTGTTCCTTGTCTAGTAAATCTGTTTTTTAAATATAACTAATGTCTCTGTCTTGTGGAGGAACTCGCCTGGGGAATTCTTCGTGTGTCGCTGAAACAGGAACTCTGGTGAAACCTTTCCCAGAGTGAACCCAAGGACTCCACACTCCAAACCCACTGACTCCAAAAACTCCATCATTAGCATACCATAGGCTATTAATATTCTTTTTAAAAAAAGATTTATTTATTTATGCATACAAGAACTGGGGTGTAGGCCAGAGGTGTGGTGGGTGAGAGGATTCACCAAAGACAGAGTGGGGAGCAGAACAGGCAGATCTACAGAAATCCACTGCTGAGGGGAGCAGCAGGTGAGGCAGGAGAGGTCTGCTGGGCCATGTGGGTTGCTCCCTGGCCATGGATTGAACTGGTGCTGCTGCAGCTACAGGTCACTTCATAGTGCTGATGCTTAACCCCTTGCGCCACCAGGGAGGCCCCAGGTTATTTATATTCTAAAGTAAAGAAGCAATAACATCTTTTAAAAAGGTTTTATTCTAGTAAAGTAAATATTTAAAGCTGTAACCCACATAACAATATTATACATGGGATCCGTAATAATTTGTGAGACTGTACAGAGTTTCTGAAAGAAAAATGTTTGAGACTTGCGGACCCAGTCCCTGGGCCTGGACTCAGGGACACGGTGTGACAAAGGTCTCGGAGCAGGAGAGGAGGGGGCGGCAAAGTCCCAGGTCTCGGGGTGTGGCTGTCTGGGTCTCAGTCCCCAGCGCGGGGTGCAGGGCTGGAAGGTGACTGCTGGGGATTCGCCCTCTCCCCTCGGTTCCACTTCTGGGCTCACAGCCTGGGCGGGTCCTCCTGCCTGGATACTGGTGAGTCACCCCAGGGCTCACTCCCCATTGCCTGGAGGTCTCCAGAGCAGCCAATCAGCAGCCCCGCGGCTCCCGTTCCAAAGCCCTCGCCCGCCCGCCGGGACTCCGTCTCCCCAGCCCGGGTGGAGGGCGCGTCCTGGGGGATGGGGGGCGCAGCCCTCCTGCTCCTGCTCGCGGGGGCCGCGGCCCCGAGGGAGACCCGGGCGGGTGAGTGCGGGTCGGGAGGGGACAGGGCGCTCCCAGAGGCGGGAGCGAGGGCGTGGGCGGGCGTGGGAAAGGCGCGACCTCGCCGCCGCCCTAGTTGTCCCCCCACCTCGGCCCCGCCCCGTCCTGGCCCCTTTCCGTCCCCCGAGACCCCAGCCTCCTCTGGCCCCCCGAGTCCCGGCCATTTTCGTCCCGCAGCCGCTTTTCACTCTCACTCGTCTTTCACCCACTTTCTGTCTCGTGGGCGCCCCCTGGGACTCGAGCCCGCGAAGGGGAGAAGAATAGCCCGGGTCTCCCCTCCCGCCCCCAGGCCCCCACTCCGTGAGGTTTTTCTCCACCGCGATGTCCCGGCCCGGCCTCGGGGAGTCCCGGTGCATCATCGTGGGCTACGTGGACGACACGCAGTTCGGGCTGTTCGACAGCGACTCCCCAGGCCAGAGAGTGGAGCCGCAGGCGCCCTGGGCGGGGCAGCTGGGGCAGGAGGTGTGGGACTGGAGGTCGCAGATCGCAAGGCACAGCGCACTGTGGTCCCGAGCGCACCTGGACGCCCTGCGCGGCCTCTACAACCAGAGCGAGACCGGTGAGCTGGCGCGGGTCCGGGCCGGGTCAGCACCCCCATCCCCACGGACGGGGGTCGCCCAGGGTCTCCCCCTCCAGGCTTCTCTGCAACCTGCCCGGGAACAGCCCGCGGGACTTTCACCCCGTTTCATTCTGTTTAGTTTATTCCCGGCGGGAGGGGGTGCGGGGGGGTGACGCGAGGTGACGCGGGCGGGGACAGGCTCTCACACCTTCCAGTGGATGTCTGGCTGCGACGTGGGGCCCGAGGGGCGCCTCCTCCGCGCGTACAGTCAGTTCGCCTACAAAGGCGCGGATTACCTGGCCCTGAACGAGGACCTGCGCTCCTGGACCGCGGTGGACACGGCCGCTCAGATCACCCAGCGCCAATGGGAGGCGCAGGGTGAGGCAGAGAAATTCAGGAACAATTTGGAGGACTGGTACTTGTGGTGGCTGCGCAGATACCTGGAGTACGGGAAGGAGACTCTGCAGCGCACGGGTAAGAGGGGCCTGGAGGCCTCCCGGTCCCCCCCTGCCTGGAGTCATGGAGTCACTGCGGGAAATGAGTCCTCTCTCTAGTCCCGAGAGGGGGACTCCCCTGGGTTTCATGTTCTGCGCTAGAGAGACTCCCAGAGACTCCGGCTTCTCCTGAAGGACAGGGAAGGGATCCCGTCTCTCCTGAGAAAGACAGACAGTCCCTGACATCACACGTCACCGGGTCCTTTTGACCAGGGGCCTGTTTGAGAACCACGAGTTTCTCTCTCAGTCTTGTTTCTGGTCTGAGAACATTTTCAGTTATGTGATTCCTGCTTTTCTGTGTCATTCACCTTCCACCAGGTCAGGAATAAAAAGTCTGTGTTCCACTCCCTCTGCTTCATCCTACCCTGGGTTTCCTTCCTCATTCTAGAACTTTCTAAGGAATAGGAGAATCTCACAAATTCCCCCAGACTGGCCTATTTTTTACATTTTATGCTTCTTCCTGCCACACCAGTTGTCTTGTCCATTGTGAGGATGGTCTCATGAGGATTCCTCAGTGTCCATGCAGGAAACACAAAGTGAATTTTCTGATTTACCACCTCAGATCCCCCAAGGACACATGTGACCCACCACCCCACCTCTGAGCATGAGGTCACCCTGAGGTGCTGGGCCCTGGGCTTCTACCCTGCGGACATCACCCTGACCTGGCAGCGAGATGGGGAGGACCTCACCCAGGAGATGGAGCTGGTGGAGACCAGGCCTGGGGGAGACGGAACCTTCCAGAAGTGGGCGGCTGTGGTGGTGCCTTCTGGAGAGGAGCAGAGATACACGTGCCACGTGCAGCATGAAGGCCTGCTGGAGCCCCAGGTCCTGATATGGGGTAAGGAGGAGGATGTGGGCACTGAGGCTAGTCTCAGGGCCATCAGGAGTCTTTCTGGAGCCCTTCAGAGGGTCAGGATAAGGTCTGGGGCTCAGGGTATGCTCTTCCCTTCCTTTCCAGTGCCCCCTTCTCAGTTTTCCATCCCCACCGTGGCCATCATTGCTGGCCTGTTTCTCCTTGGAGCTGTGCTCACTGGAGCTGTGGTGACTGCAGCTGTGATGTGGAGGAAGAAGTGCTCAGGTAGGGAAGGGAGTGGGGGCATCTTGTCCACTGAGAGCTTTCAAGTCCCAGGGAAAACCGCCCTGCCTGGTTAATGGGAAGTACCATCCACACACATGGGTGTTGCCCAGAGGGCATTTGGTCCAGTCCCCCCTCACCAGCTTTCTTCATTTCTCCCAGTCCTGACCTGGATCTTTACTCACAGTTCTGGAATCTTCCCTGTTCTGCAGGATTAAAAGATTCCATTAGGTCTTCTGACCTGACTGCTCCCTGGTCTCACATGATGTTTCTTCCCACAGAAGGACAAGGAGGAAGCTACACTCAGGCTGCAGGTAAGTGTGCATCAGCAGTGTGATCCCTGCGCCCCTGGGGACAGTGTAGATGGAGCCCATGGGGGAGTCACCCTCATCAGTCCCTCCTGTGGTCTCATCTCTGACCAAGTTCTATTTTGTTCTCAACCAGGCAGTGACAGTGCCCAGGGCTCTGATGTGTCTCTCAGCCCCTAAAGCATCTTTTAAAATGAATGTGATAAGGGCTCCTCCCCGGTGGCGCAGCGGGTTGAGCGCATCTCTGTGAAGCTGTCAGCAGCCACTGCAGCACCAGTTCGATTACCAGCCAGTCAGGGAGAATCCCACATGGTGAGGCAGACCTCTCCTGTCTCTCCCCTGCTCCACTTTCAGTCCGTCTGCCTGTTCTGCTTCCTGCTCTGTCTCTGGTGAACCCTCTCACCCTTCTATGACTCTGGCCTGTACCCCAGCTCTTATATAAATAAAAAATAAAAAAAAATGATGAATGTGATGAGGCTCCTATTGTTCACACCCTGGACAGCACCTGGTATTGTGCAGAGTTTGCATTTTCAGTCTCTCCTGGTTGTCACTGTTCTTAATTGTGATATTGAACATTTGTTCATATTTTTACTTTCCTATGACTATAGTTGCTGTTTGTATGGAAGTTTTGTACATTTCTACAGATGAGGTGCTGTTCATTTATTACACTATTTTTGTCTTTATTAAAATTGGGTTATTTCTTTCTGATCATTGAGTTTTGGGCATTATTTCTAGATAAAGTCCTTTATCAGATTCATGATTTGCAAATGTTTCCCCCAACTCTGTGGCCTGAACTCCTTTACTGATGGGAAAACAAACACTGTTGCCCAGACAGGAGCATGGAGATGTATATATATGTGTGTGTGTAGGTATATATGTATGTATATGTATACATGTATGTATATGCATATGTATATAGGTACATATATATGTATATGTATAATGTATATAAAGAGAAAAGATAAATTGCTAACTGGATTTGAGCAGATACTGGCTGACTGGGGTGTTGGGGGTGGAGTGGAATGACTTAATGCATATCCTTGAGTGTTATTTAAATGTCCTTGTTTGAGCATGAAATATGCTTTCTAAAGTAAATTACACTTCATTCCTCAACTTATAAAACTCTTCACACATCATGTTCAAATCACGTGTTAAGACCAGACTGACACGTGGGTTACAAGTGATGGATCCGGACATCATAGTTGCAAAGTCATGGTTTCCCTTTGGGTTCACTCTGGTGTTGTCCATTCTTGGAGTGTTGGGCAAATGTATAATGACCTGTGTCCATCATGAGAATATCATGCAGAGTATTTTCACTGCCCATAGTGTCTTCTGTGCTCCAAGGAAGCAAAAGCAGAAGAAACCAGTGGAATCACATCAGACTAAAAAGCTTATACATAGTGAAGGAAACTATCGTTAAAATGAAAAGAGAATATTGAATTGGAGAAACTATTTGTACATCATCAATCCAACAAGGAGATAATATCCAAAATCTACAAAGAACCCCAAAACAGGGCTCCCCGGTGGCGCAGAGGTTGAGCGTTGGGTTGCGAAGCTGCCCGCAGCCTCTGCGGCGCTGGTTCAATCCCCGGCTGCTCCCCGGCCACCGGAGGAGGGTCCCACATGGCACGCAGACCTCTCCTGCCGCCCACTGCTCCCCTCAGCAGTGTACTTCAGTCCTTCTGCCTGTTCTGCTCCCCACTCTGGCTCTGGTGAATTCTCTCACCCTCCCGAGCTTCTGACTGTACCCAATGCTTGTATAAATAAATAGATAAATCTTAAAAAAAAAAAAACTCCAAGAAAACAACTCAAAACAGGGACAGAGGAGCTAAATAGGTACTTTTCTAAAGAAGACACACATGTGGCCAATAGGTACATGGATAAATGTTTGTCATGTGCTGTCAGGAAAATGTCAATTAAAACCACAATGAGTTACCACCTCACATCTGTGAGAATGACCCATTGAAGGGTGTGGAGGAAAAGGAACTCTGGCACATGGTGGGTGGGAATGATGTCTGGTCCTGTTAGTGGGCAGAATGAGGGGTTCCCTGGGCCCTCAAAACTGTACAGTCTACGTGGGATTGCCCATCAGCTGTAAAGACAAAACATACTCTAAAGCATAAGATCTTCAATAGAAAAGAACTTTAATACAGTTAGTATATAATAGAGAATCAGTGTGCAATAGAGAGAGAAAAGAGAAAGAATATAGTTAGAAAATTTCCCACGTGAAGCACCCAAAGTCACCCACCCCTCATGGGTAAACGCCCAGCTGAGGCCTGAAGGCCTGCCACAAATCTAAGGCACCTACTGGTAGAGACCCATGGGAAAGGTGCAGGAGGGGCCAGGAAAGTCTGGAAGGATAAGAGCAAAATCAAAATCCACATCAAGATAACAGCTGCCATTGTCAGCCTCCCCATGGGTCCCTCACCCACGTCTTTGTCTCTTTCATGTGTCTCTTTCACGTGTCTCTTTCCATGTCCCCAACTCCCTGGAACAAGTCCAAGTCTAAGGAGGAAGCCTGGCTTCTTCTTCACATGTCTCTCTTCTCCATGCGCCTCCTCCAGTCTTCTTTCCTCATCTTACTCCACGTCTTCTTCCTCTTCCTTAGCTTCTCATCCCTGCTCAGCTCTATATTTCCTTGGGCAGGGCGGTAACCTGGAACCTCTCTTTTCTATGGATAGCACATTGGTCCTGCCCCTATGGAAAAAAACATTAAGGTTCCTCAAAATAGACCTGTCCCATGGTCAAGCATCCCATTCCTTGGTATTTATCCAAAGAAGGCAAAAACACTAATTCCAAGGAATATGCACCTCCTATGGTCACTGCAGCGCTGTCTACCATAACCAAGCTATGGAGACAACCTAAATGCCCAATGGCAGATGAGGGGATAAAGAACACAAGCTATATATACAATGGAATACTATTCGGCTGTGAAAAAGTTGAAATATTGAATTTGCAACAACGTGGGTAGATGTGGATGGAATTATGCTATGTGAAATAAGTTTGAAGGAGAAAGTTAAATACTGGATGATTTCATTCATATTTGGAATATAAAGAAACAAAACAGGGACAGACTAAACCAAAACATAGTCTATATATATGACTGCAGAATTGAAGCTATGGGCTGGGGGTAAGAGCAGGAAACAAAGTAGGAAAAGAGCCCAATGGACTGTAGTGAAGACTGTGGGTGCCCTTAGGGTGGGTGTGATGCGGTAACAAACATCTGAAGAGGTGTAACCCTGTGCCTCTGAACACATACAGTGTGTAAACCAGTGTTACCTCAATTGAATAATACAATGGGGAGGGAAGAAGAGAATAAAGTAAATTGTCTCCTCCATCCATCACTGATCTCAGGACTTTGCCTTCGCCTCCTCACTGTCATGCAGGGTGAGGGGCTGGTTTCCCACAAGGACAGAGGCAGGAGGTGCAGGGACTCCTGGGGCTGCTCAGACCCCGCTGAGTAGAGACACTGCAGAGAGGGCGGCTCTGAGGGGACCAGAGACAGAGGGTCAGAGTAACCCCAGTGCTGAGTGAGGATCTGGTTCCCAAGGAGATGGGAGTGTGTGTGTGTGTGTGTGTGTGTGTGTGTGTGTGTGTGTGTAACAACAATGTCAGGATGCACAATACAAGATGATGTAAAGACAATTAACATCAAGCCCCAGAATAAATGAATTCAATCTCACAGAGTAAAGAGCATCAATACAACATCTCATTAAATTCGGTTTTGTGAAGAAGCAGCTTCTAAGCTGGACTGAAAAAGCATTGGACCTGAAGAAGAGGAGGATATTTAGAAATATCTCATGGTTGGCTTGAGGTGTGAGGAGCTGGACAGGACCCCTCCCCCCACCCTGGCCTCTGCTAGGATGTGGTGGCATCTTCACCCCTGACAGTTCCCTTCCCCAGTCCCCAACATTCATCTCCTTTGGAGTCACCTGTATATGTACATATATGTATACGTGTAATCCCAGCTTCTTCTTCATTTGTCACCTGTCTGGGGCATTCGGGTGGTGTCCATAGCTTGGCTACTGTAAATAGTGCTGCAGTGGTGACGGGAGTGCAGGTCCCTTCACAGGAGAGTGTTTATCCTCTGTGAGGAGATCCTCAGTATAGAATTGCTGGGTCCAATGGCAGAACCACATTCACTCTTTTAAGAAACCTCAATACTGTTTCCAGAAGGGCTGGCTCAGTCTTTATCCAAAAACAATGCACGACTGTCCCCTTTTTTCCACATCCTTGCCAGCACTTGAGTTTCTGGTCTTTTGGATATGGGCCGTTCTCGCAGGTGTGAAGGTTTAAACCAGGAGAACATAAAGCCAGAAAATGTGGGCAAAAAGAAATCCTGTAACACTCAGGCCAACACAAGGCTGTCTCTCACTGTGAAAGAAAATAATTGTGAAGAAATTCAGGTGAATTACCTGAGTGTTAACAATATAATGGTCCACTGCATTCTCAAGATGTCCTCCTGAAAGCATCCCCATCACCTAGACCCAGGCTCTCTGCCTCAAACCCCATCCCCACGGCAGGCCTCAAGGGTCTCACCTATAGGGACTAAGATACACTTCAGAGCACTGGGACTGTGGCTGCCTGGGGGAGAACACAACAAAACTTGGTCAGAGATGAGACCACGGGAGGAACTGATGAGAGTGACTCCCCCATGGGCTCCATCTTCATTGTCCCCAGGGGCTCAGGGATCCAACCCTTGAACACACTTACTTGCAACCTGAGTGTAGTTTCCCCCTTGTCCTCCCATGGGAAGAAGCATCATGTGAGACCAGGGAGCAGCCAGGTCAGAAGACCTAATGGAATCTTTTAATCCTGCAGAACAGGGAAGTTTCCAGAACTGTGAGTAAAGACCCAGGTCAGGACTGGGAAAAATGAAGAAAGGAGGTGAGTGGGACTGGACCAAATGCCCTCTGGGCAACACCCGTGTGTGGATGGTATTTCCCATTAACCAGGCAGGGCAAGTTCTCCCTGGGACATGAAAGCTCCTAGTGGACAAGATCCCCCACTCCCTTCCCTACCTGAGCACTTCTTCTACCCCCTCACACATGAAGCCACCTTGTGTCCAATGAGCACACCTCCAAAGAAAACCAAGCCGGAAATGAGGACGACAGCAAGGATGGAGAACTGAGGAGGTGGCACTGGAAGGGAAGGGAAGGTCAGACCCTGAACCTGAGGCCTCAGTCTGATCTTCTGAAGGTCTCGAGAAGGGCTTCTGATACACCTGAGTCAGCCTCTGTGCCCACATCCCCCTCAATACCCCATCTCAGGACTCGGGGTGCAATCAGCCCCTCATGCTTCACATGGCACGTGTATCTCTTCTCCTCTCCAGAAGGCACCTCTATAGCTGCCCACTTCTGGAAGTTTCCATCCCCCCTCCGATCCCGGGCCTGGTGTTCACCAGCTTCGTTTCCTGGGCCAGGTCCTCCCCATCTCGCTGCCAGATCAGGGTGATGTCCGCAGGGTAGAAGCCCAGGGCCCAGCACCTCAGGGTGACCTCATGCTCAGAGATGGGGTGGCGGGTCACATATGGCGATTGGGGGCCTCAGTAGGAAGAATCGGAAATTTCATGCTTTGTGTTTCCTGCATGGACACTGAAGCAGCCTCATGTGACCATCCTGCAGTGGACAGAACAGTATGCTTGGAGGGAGGAGCACAAACCCCAGAAACCAGCCTGGTCTGGGAGTCCGGGATAGCAGGTGAGAGCCCAGGGTGGGATGCAGGTCTCGGAGCATTTTGTTGCTGACTTGGGTGGAGGGCGGTGACACAGACAGGCAGGAGTGAGATCTCCAAAAATGCTCTCTGACCAAAAAACAAGATCTCGAGAGAGAAACTCATTGTTCCTATGATGGC